TGATGATGTTTTTGACAAATAACTACCGTAACTTAATCACAACCTATTTTTAAATGATTGCGAGTAATTATCAATAATATATAATAAATTTAACTGTCTAAAAATATAATAGATCAACACAATAATCAAATAAAGACAAAAAAATCAACAATAAATCTCACTATTAAATCAAATGTACTATAAAAATATATAAAAGCATTCAGAATCATCATTTATTTTCATATAATAAGAAAAAATGAACATATTAAATAAAACACTATAATTCATACTATAAAATATCTTACAAAATCCCTTAAATTATTTTGTAAGATCCATGACTGATGTACCCCTTTCAAAATCACATCCACTGATCACCAAGTTTAAAGAGCATCGATTTTAAACGAACTAAGTGGTTTTTAGGATGTTATTATTTACTAAATTATCTTTAAATAAATATTATTTTATATTTATCTCGAATTAATAAAAAAATTATCTCAATCTTGATCCCAGCTGTCATCAACATGTGGGCTACGCAAATAAATGAAGGGTTGTGATGGAAACAAAGTATAGACGCATCAGCACACAGTCCCCGCCAAAAAGAGAGAAACAGTTACAACGGGAAAAGAACTTAAGAAACCTCTCGTTGTTCAAATCCATTTCAGAAAAAGATCATAACTGGTAATCAAGAAATCTCTCCTTGCCTCTTCATTCCAACTGAATATGTATGTGAGAAATGAGAAATAACTTCTTTCCTATGCCCTGTTTGCAGAAACCGACGTTACAATTAGATTTCGCTCGACTTCTTCCTTCCATCCGAATGGCGGCGCCTACAAACACCGTTAGCTTTCCGGATGATGAGGATAATCGTTTCTTCTTATGCGGTTTTTGCGGCAACCACATCCTCAATGCAATTGGGAACAACTTTTTTTTCCGAGTATCAACTCTCTCTCTAATAGTCTATCTCTCTCTCTATATGTGTCTGTGTGATTCTTCTTTGAGGCAAATTTTCAGATCCAATGGACGGCTCCGGATGGAGTGGACGTAGATGGAATTCTCTGCAACGCCAACACACCGTAAGATATCTCCCGTGGAACAACTCGATCAACCGAACTACATTTCATTACGTAATAAAGGACATTAATTAATTAAACGTTAATCTTCGTGCTTCATTGATATATAGTGTCAATCTGCGGTTCGATACTATAGCGAATGTTCTTACTAACTATGCTCGACCAATGGTGTATGCCTATTGCAATGAAGATGATTGCTCCGAAATCCTTGGCGTGAAGTTTGTAAGTTATTTACTTTTTTTTTTTTGCTTTGTGTTTATATAAACTAAATAATTATATATGATATCTCTTTCACTTACTGTTTCAGATTTCGAGTGGTCGAGTTCTGGATAATCTTCCGGTGGAGATTTACATAGGGGAAGGACAAGAAGCGGTTTTTCTTGCCTTGTAAGTTTTATTCCCACACCAATTACTGAATCACATTCGAAAATCGAAATTAGAAAACTTTTTTTTGAATGAAAATGGCACTTGCAGCGGGGTGGAAAAGGACGATTTGCTGTATTGGAATGGAGTCCGGAGGTTTGCCCTGACGAGCAATTCGCTGACGATGACGACTGAATCCCCTGACAAACGAAATCTAGAGAGAGATTCAAGTCAAAGTCACAAGGGAAACTACTGCTGTGCTGTTGGTATTGTTTTTCATTTAGCTTTGAGTTTAGTGCTAAGGATTTTACAGGCAAAGCTTTTTTTTTTTTTGCAGAGAGAATCTTTGAACATTGTTTTACATTTTTTTAGTATCTAGATGCTCATTTCCACTGATTTTTTTGTTGTCTTTTCTTATGCCATGCATGAACTTTGCTTGCTGCATTTTAACCAAGAAATACAATTTCATACATGTAAATTCTCAAATCACATCAATATTTAGACCATTGAATGAATCTAAGTTAATCAAATTAATTTAAATTTCAAATATTAATTTATATACAACCACAAAGTGTAACTTAAAAAGCTAAAATATTAAGAATATTAATCAAAATGTAATGAAAAAAAGAGATTGAGATGGTCTATGCTCTCCTTTTTCTTCATAATATTAAAAGTTGGAAATAAGAATTTTTTTTATGAAGAAAAAGGAGAGCATAGACCATCTCAATCTCTTTTTTTCATTACATTTTGATTAATATTCTTAATATTTTAGCTTTTTAAGTTACACTTTGTGGTTGTATATAAATTAATATTTGAAATTTAAATTAATTTGATTAAACTAAATTAAACCAAATATCAAAATTTGGATTAATTATAAATATAAAAGAAAGAAAGAAATAAAACAACTTGTATAAAGTTCAAATCGATCTTATTTTAATATCAAAATTGGCTAGGAACCGTTCTTGGTAATCACATGTTCCAAGATTCTCCCCGGAGATTAACTGTATTTTCTATGTTGATTTTCGGGATAATTTAGACTAGCAACAGTGCTCATCCCCTAGCATGTTCTTTTCTCCTCATTCAGAAAAATAATATTATTTTGAAGTAAATTGTTATATTATCAACATTTATAATCTAAAGATTGATTGGTAAAGAAATAAAATAATTTAAAAACTAAACGATTAAATTTAAATTATTAAAATTAAAACGATGAAGATAAAAATAATGTCAGAGTGGAGCGATGAAAAAGAATAGTTTCCACTTATTAAATAAGTTTTTTACCAACGCGATGACTTTTCCCGTCCCTCTGCTCTCATACGATCTATTAGTTGAGAAATAAACGAGTAACAAATAATTTTTCTATAATCATATTAGTGAGAATGCGAAATAAAAGCGGAAAAATAATACCCGAAATTGATAACGGAGTTCAATCAATTGTGTTTACGTCTCCGGACTGATGTAGATTTTTTACTAAGAGAGAAAATTTACAGGTGTTTACAAAACATTTACTATTCACAAGAAATTCTCTAATATTGGGAGAAAGAAATGATTTGGGATGATTTTGAAGTTAAATGAGCTAGGATATTTATAGTTGAAGCTTAAGGACTTAATCTTGTAAATACCTTAAAGTCCAGTGATTAATTGTGAGATTTTACCCTTTCATTTTCCATAATCTCTGCATCGAAATTGACCATCCACCGAATTGCTCAATTTTACAGTTGTCAATTTGGACTTCAACAAGCTCCAATTTGGACTTTAACAAGCTGTCAATTTAGATTTCTTTTTAACAATCTCTCACTTGAGATTGATTTTAATCTGTCTTCACACCTTGATCAATGCAGTAACATTTCTGGTCTTGTTAGTCTAGCATGTCAACTGAAGCTGAAAACAACTTCAGTTTGTCCGTAGTCACCGTCTTTATTAACATGTCTGTCGGATTTTGAGCTCCGTCAATCTTTTCAAGTTTCAAAATCTCATCTTCCAGAAGAGACCGAATAAAATAATATCACAATTGTATGTGCTTCGTTCTGGAATGAAAAGACGGATTCTTTGCTAGATGGATAACACTTTGACTGTCGCAATACAATACATTGTTTTCTTGTTTCTTGCCTAACTCTTCCAAGAAACTTTGGAGCCAAATCATCTTTTTGCTGGCTTCCGTAACAGCGACATATTTTGTTTCAGTTGTGGAGAGAGCAATTATCTTCTGTAGTTGAGAAACCCAACTCACTGCAGTTCCTCCTAGAGTATAAACATATCCTGTAGTGCTTCTTCTGATGTCAACACTATTGTCTAAGCTTGGAATTGCAAAAACCACCGAATCGACTCGGAATCTCTGCAAGTCTACGCTATATTGGTTCCTCGCACTCGCCACTACCTTCACTGCGTATCGCAGGTATCAATCCTTTGCAATGTCTTGGTCTTGGTCTTCATCCTCGTCTTACCCTCCCAAAACCGATAAAGAATCTCTCCGCCGTCAACGAAATTATATTAATCAGAAGGTTGAAGTTGTGGTGAGCATCTGGCATCTTATTAATGACGTTAGCTCATTGCTGGCTATATCTTTACTTCGTTTAATGTCATATATGAACAGACTGGGACTACAACTGATGAGTACTTGAAGCAATTGGATAAAGCACTTGGGGAATAGATTTCTTTCAGCTGTCTTCAACGTGCTTCATTCTGCATTTTGCTTGATCTTTTTTTAATTATGATTTCCATATCTGCTTTATTTTATCCGATGACACTTATAGTTTGCCTGATGTGTTTACTTCACATCCATTTTATGTGTCATTTTACAAGTTCATTGATTTTAACTCTACATCATTACGTTTGTTTAATCATGATTTTTGAAATGCATTTAGTGCTTTTACTATGTCTCTGCCTCAGTTCTTTTATTTATTGTTGTTATAATGTGATATGCTTTCATATCTGATGCATTCTGGCATTATTTTATCAGCATGTTTTCCAACTTGCTTCATCTTTTGCTTTGCATTTTTTTCTCTATATTATTTCCCTCTTTCTTTTTATTTACTTGTTATCTTTTATTAATTTCATGTTATAAATACTGTTTTAAAATGTTCTTTTATGCTATTACCACATTGTAGTTATTAGTTGCAAATGCCAGGTAGCGAGGAGTAAATTTGCTCCCTAGTTGATTATATACAATGCTGGAACTGATATCCTTGATGGAGATCCACAGGGTGGATTAGAGGTATATATGTTCATAATTGGATCCATTTGCTTAATTTTGTTCTTATTCTTTTTGCCAGTACTTTTTCCTTTTCTATCAGAAGTAAAATTATATCTTCATTAGACTCGTGCTTTCCGTGAATCCATCATCTATGATTTATCAACTTAACTTTTGGTAGAGAATTGCCTTTCGGTGATAACCCTGGAGAGCAGACTAAATATCATAGAGAATTAACTGTTTTATCTCGTTTCATGTGCTAACATGGTCATGCTGCTTCATAAAGATTATGCGGTAATCTCCACTAAGCTGTGAAAGAAAGCCTTTGTTTGTAGTATATTTGGTTCAAAAACTAGTTTTGAATCAAAAAGGGCATTAGACAAGTAGCAATGAGGGTTGTTAGATTATCATATAAAACTTTATAGAGATATTTTTCTTAAATGTTGGTTTAACTCTAGAAACGTATAGGAAGCTTTTGGGGATCCTATTCTTGATGGGCTGATTGGAAGAATCCGGAGTATAAGTGCTTCCGGTGAATGGATAAAATGTCAAATAGGAGAAAGAAATAGAATGGTTAAGCAGTTTGAGACGACTACAACCAAGAAGGGTGCTTAAAAATTAAAATAGTTCACTTCCGTGCCTCTTTAATTTTTTTTTTTGGGGGGGGGGGGGTGTCCAGTAAAATACACCTAACATCTTTTGTTTTTAAAATGTATCTTTTTGTTGGATGGTGCGTCTCGGCATAATTAATATTTGCAAGTTCCCCTTATAGGTATTGGTCACTTCTAATTTTCAGGTCAGTCCCGATGGGGTGGTCCAAAGAGATGAGAAGGTCTTCAGGTTTGCTCCTGAGAGAAACATCCCTATTGTCATGGTTACGTCAGGTTTGGTATCTTCAAACCTTAATATTATGCTTGATGCAGACAACAATGACTTCTTTTCCCCCAAACGTGTATTAGGATTCCAACAAAGTTTGAACCCTCAACTCACTTTTCATTAATTAAGAAAATAATTTCCAGTTCACTTGCTGATTGATGTCGGTACTTCTATAGCACAGCCAAGATACAGTTCTAGCGTGGTCTTGTTTTAATGGAGAAGATGAATGGAATAGTTTTTTTTATTTGCTTTACATTATACATCAACAAAAATGTTGGAGCTAGACTTTAAATTAGCAGCATTGGATGAATCCTATACCTGAGATGAATATCTTATAAACATGGCCGATTCAGTTTTCACTAATCCTATTTCTAACAAATTTCCATTTCTCCCACTTTTGTTGTTTTAGGTGGCTATATGAAAACCAGTGCCAGAGTCAGAGCAAATTCCATAATAAACCTTTCAAAGGAAGGCTTGATAGATACAAATGTCCGCAGCTGAAGAAGATAAATGACACTATATGTCAATGAAGTACGAAGTTTAAATTCCATAATAAACCTCTCAAAGAAAGGCTTGATAGATAAAGGTCAGTTCCCCAGAGGAGTTTCAAGGCATGAATCCTGTCCAAGTTACTCGTGCGTTTGTATCCGGAAGAGATCCTTCCGATTGTAAGCAACCAAATAGGAGAAACGAGGAGATAGAAGTGTGAGTTTTATGTAGAAATAATACTCGTAGGAGCATGCGTGTGTTTCGAATTCTTCTTCTTCGAGTAGTTAACCTTGCAGTTTTGTATACCTAAATATAGTAAAAGGTTGCAATGTTGATAGTTTTGCGAAGAAGCAGCATCATAGGATTTAGCTTTGCCTGGTCTTCCTTGTTCACAAGGCATGGGCCGTGTGCCGTGTAGCTAGCTTGTCTCTTAGGTTATTGAATAACTGATAAATAATGAATCTTGTTAAATAAATAAATGTTTGTAAATGCTATTATGTAGTATGTTGCTCATTTCAACGTGGTGGTTCCGTTATATACAGGGAAGAACGGCTTCTGGAACTTTGGTCGTCTTTTACCAATTTTGTTATGAAAGTTGTTTTGGGTTAATAGAAACATAAATTAAAATGAATAATTTGCTATCGTTCAATTAAAAATTTAATTATTCCGTGAAATGGTGACCGACTTTAAATATATATAACTAATATTAGTCAATTTTTATTCCTTGGCTGGTCTTACTTGTCAAAAAGAAATGTTCGTTATTCTAATTAACCCTATAATTGTATTGATTTTTTTATTGAAAAATAGTTTGATATATGAATTATTGAGTAAAATATAAAAATTAAGGACTGGATAAGAAGAATAGAGATGAAAGTAATGGAAAAATTGAGGAATAAAGAAACATATGTAATCCGATTTTTACTCTCCAGGTGTTTATTCAATATGGTTGTGCAGTAATGAACTAAGACTTAAGCTTGATTTTGCATATTTAGCTGGTTCATTAGTTTGGTTTGTAGATATGCCGAGTCGAGGACATCACTGTTGACGGTCTTATCAAGGGATCTGTTGTTCTTTTCCATCGGGCAAGAACGATATCGGTGCAGTCTTCTGGAATAATCAATGCTTGGGGGATGGGTATGTTTCTATATTCTGGTTTAGGTTCTTATATTCTCCAACTTTCCCCTCTTCTATATATGCAACGGTTTATGTACATGCAACCATACATACCTACTCATACAAGCATATCCATGCACACAAATCACCTCCGTCTTTATGACGAGCTTGTGTGGCTTTTTAATCGTTTCTTATTTGCCTTGAAGAAAAGTAAAGAAAACCACAGGTGAGCTTGTTAAACATTTTATTCGGTTGATTTTCGAAATTCCAACACTTACGTAAATTTAAGAGTATTTGAATATATCAATGTTGAATATTGTTTTTCAATATTTTCTTCATGGGCGGCTAGCATTAATGGGCGGCTGGGGCTGCTAATTTTTTCCAAATTGGCAGCACACTTTGATTGAATTTGGTTAGGGATAATTACCAAAATTTTGTTCCTAGGCTTTAGGGTATTTATAAGATTAGTCCTTAAGCTTCAACTATAAATACCCTAGCTCATTTAGCTTCAAAATCATCCCAAAGTTTTCTAGCTTTCTTTCAATACTAGAGATAATTTAGAGAGTTTCTTGAGAATTATTTTCTCCTTTTTATCAAGAGAGAATTATCATTGTTTTCTCATTGGTCGATCGAGAGAAGTTGTAATTCCTATTTTCTCATAGTGAAATTCCTCTACCATTGCCCGTGGTTTTGACCCTATATTATTTAGGGGTTTTTCACGTAAATTTTGTGTCTTCTTTATCTTCAATTTTATTTTCTCAAATTATCAGATGCGATTTTTCTCTATTCGACAGCCGTCTTCCGCAACAATTGGTATCCGAGCCATATTTGAGTGTGTAATATCTGCTTATTGTCTTTGTGGTTGCCACCAAAAGGTGGATCCTTCAACATAAGAAAGTAAGAAGGTATTACCCATTCTTTGAAGGTTCCAGAGAACTATTCACGATAGTGAAATAGTGGGAGCTATCCGTAATAGAAGCTATGGCAACGAAATTTGATATTGAAAAATTCAATGGGAGAAATTTCGCATTGTGGAAATTGAAGATGAAGGTCATCCTGAGGAAAGACGAATGTCTAGCAGCTATCAGTGAAAGGCCGGTAGATTTCACAGATGACAACAAATAGATCGAAATGGACGGGAATGCTATGGTAAACTTTCATTTAGCATTAGCATATGAAGTATTGTCAAGCATCGAGGAGAAGAAGACAACTAAGGAGATATGGGATCATCTCACCAAATTGTACGAGGTCACATCGTTGCACAATAAAATTTTTCTTAAGAGGAAATTGTACACTCTCCGTATGTCATAATCTACTTCAGTGACGGAGCACTTAAACACACTGAACACGTTATTTTCTCAACTTACATCCTTAAGATGTACAATAGAAGAACAAGAACGTGCTGAACTTCTACTTCAAAGTCTACATGATTCGTATGATCAACTCATCATCAACTTGACAAACAGTAATGTCATCAATCTAGTCTTCGATGACGTTGCAGCTGCTGTTCTCCAAGAAGAAAATCGGCGTAAGAACAAGGAAGACATACAAGTAATCTGCAAAAAACAGAAGCGTTGACAACGATGAGAGGAAGATCAACAGAACGTGGCCAAAGCAGTAGTCACAAACATGATAGATCGAGGTCGAGAAACAAGAAGAATTTAAAGTGTTATAACTGTAGAAAGAAGGGTCACTTGAAGAAGGATTGTTGGAGTCTAAATAAAAACTCCAATCCACAAGGCAATACCGCAAACACTTCAGATGATGGAGATGCTCTATGCTGTGAAGCGTCAACCACCATGGAAGGTAGAAAGAGATATGCATATATATGGCTCATTGATTCGGGAGCAACATATCATATGACCTCAAGAAGAGAATGGTTCCATCATTATGAACATGTCTCAGGAGGATCTGTGTATAGTTGCAATGATCATGCCTTAGAGATCGTTGGTGTGTGAACCATCAAATTGAAGATGTATGATGGAACAATTAAAGTTGTTCGATATGTGCGGCACGTGAAAAGCCTGAAGAAAAATTTATTATCCTACGGATTGTTGGATAATAATGCAAGCAAGATTGAAACACAGAAAGGAATCATGAAGGAGTTACGTGGAGCGCTTGTGGTGCTGAAAGCCGAAAAGATAGCTGCAAACTTGTACATGCTGAAAGGATAGACTTTGCTAGAAGCAGAAGCCTCTTTTGCCTCATGTAGTTCAGATTCTGCAATGCTATGGCATCAGAAACTTGGACGCATGTCAGAACAAGAAATGAAATTCCTTGTGGAGCAAAAGCTACTTCCACGCTTAACAAATGTATCACTTACTTTGTGTGAGCATTGCATAACAAGTAAGCAACACTGGTTGAAATTCAATACATCAAATTCTAGAGGCAAAAGTGTGCTAGAATTGGTTCACTCTGACGTATGGCAAGCACCAATTACATCCCTAGGCGGAGCAAATTACTTTGTCTCATTTATTGATGACTACTCCAAGAGATGTTGGGTGTACTCTATTAAGAAGAAATCAGATGTGTTTTCCACTTTCAAAAAATTCAAAGCGCGGGTGGAACTTGATTCTGGAAATAAGATCAAGTGTTTCATAGCAGATAATGGAGGAGAATACACAAGTGAAGAATTTGATGACTTTTGTAGGAAAGAATGCATCAAAAGACAGTTCACAGTAGCGAACACTCCTCAACAAAATGAAGTGGCAGAGCGGATGAACAGAACCTTGTTAGAAAGAACAAGAGCAATGTTGAGGGATGCAGGCATAGAAAAATCATTCTGGGCAGAAGCAGTCAATACAACCTGTTATTTGGTGAATCGAGCTCCATCAACTGTAATAGAGCTGAAGACACCAATGGAGATGTGGACTGGTAAACCAGCCGATTATTCAAACCTCTAGTAAACCAGTTGATTATTCAAACCTCTATGTATTTGGAAGTATTGTGTATGTGATGTACAACTCCCAAGAAATTTCAAAACTGGATCCAAAATCCAGGAAATGCAAATTCTTGGGGTATGATGATGGTGTAAAGGGGTATCGCTTGTGGGATTCCACAGTCCGTAAAGTGATCATCAACAGGGATGTTATCTTTGTAGAATATAAACTACAAAGAAAATAAAACGATGATAGCGCTGAAAAGTCAGAGACTACTCAGATACATGTGGAAATTGAGTTTGAACAAGGAGATTCTTCTAAAGCAGAACCAGCACATGATGAATAAGAACCACAGAGTTTTGAAGCTGCTCTAACAACTCGTCAATCAGATCGTGTGAGAAGATGTCCCAATTGGCACTCAGATTATGTTATAGAAGGTAATATTACATACTGCCTTTTAACAGAGGACGATGAGCCATCAACATACAAGGAGGTAATAAACAGCTCAGATGTTTCACTGTGGATGATGACGATGCAAGAAGAAATTGAAGCCCTTCATAAAAATAATACATGGGACCTTGTACTACTACCACAAGGAAGGAAGCCAATTGGTAACAAACGGGTCTTCAAAATCAAGCGAAATGGTGACGATCAAGTTTAGAGGTATCGTGCAAGACTGGTGGTCAAGGGATATGCTCAAAAAGAATGTATTGATTTTAATGAAATATTTTCTCCTGTGGTTCGACTAGCTTTGGCAATGTGAGCTATATTGAACTTATATCTAGAACAGCTAGATGTTAAAACAGTTTTTCTTCATGGAAATTTTGAAGAAGAGATTTACATGCTCCAGCCTGAAGGTTTTGAAGAAAAAGAAAAGAAGAACTTGGTTTGTAGGTTGAACAAATCTCTATATGGTCTAAAGCAGGCGCCGAGGTGTTGGAATAAGAGATTTGATTCCTTCATTATGTGCCTTGGATACAACAGACTTAATGCAGACCATTGTGTTTATTTCAAGAGGTCTGGTGATAACGATTTTGTTATATTGCTGTTGTATGTAGATGACATGTTGGTTGCAGGACCCAACAAAGATCATATTGAAGAATTGAAGGCATAACTAGCTAGGGAATTTGAAATGAAGGACTTGAGATCAGCAAACAAGATTCTAGGGATGCAAATACACCGAGACAGAAGTAATAGGAAGATTTGGCTTTCACAAAAGAATTACTTGAAGAAGATCTTGTCACGATTCAACATGCAAGATTGTAAGCCAATTTCTACCCCTCTTTCTATTAACTTCAAATTATCCTCCAGTATGAGTCCTAACAGTGAAGATGAGAGGATAGA